TTCCATTACCTGGAAGATGGCCTAGAATACATTATGACATTTGACATTTTATTTTACAGATGTTCAAATTGCTTCACTAGCTTCACTGAGAAGTATGTTTCAAATGAGTTCAGTAAGAAAATTTCAAACTTACACCTCATATACTTTGTAGTTCTGACTGGAAAATTGAAGGGGAAATAATATATGCTTCATTCACTTTCAATTTCTAATGGAATAAGAGCAAAAAAGGCAGGTCTTCAGGAATATGAAAAATGGAAGATAGAATCATAGCATGGTTTGGTTTGAAAGGGACCTTAATGACCATCTAATTCCAATCCCCTGCCATGGGCAGAGACACCTTCCACCAGACCAGGCTGCTCAAAGCCCCGTCCAACCTGGCCTTGAACACTGCCAGGGAGGGGGCAGCCACAGCTTCTCTGGGCAGCCTGTTCCAGTGCCTCACCACCCTCATAGGAAAGAATTTCTTCCTGATATCTAATCTGCATCTACCTTCTTTCAGTTTAAAACTATTATCCCTTATCCTGTCAGTGCAGAGTCCCTCCCCATCTTTCCTGTAGCCCCCTTTAAGTACTGGAAGGCCGCTGTAAGTTCTCTCCAGAGCCGCCTTTTCTCCAGGCTGAACAACCCCAACTCTCTAAGACTGTCCTCACAGAAGAGGTGCTGCAGCTCCCTGAACACCTTTGTGGCCCTCCTGTGGACCCACTCAAGCATGTCCATGGATATTAAAATACAGTTTACATATATACACAAGGACATACTGAAAGATTAATTTGAATATGGTAGTTGTGAGAGAAATGCAAACACCACAAATGAGGAAACAGTACAGAATAACTGAAAATGCAGATAGACTTGCACACATAAGAGATCTAACATAAATTGCTGTGTCATAAGGACAATCACTTTGTAATTGAATATATCACGTTAACAAATTGTATGACAGATACTGTTCCTTATTAGTATCCTGACCTAGGATGCTGCCCTCTATTTGGCCATCCATGGACACAAGCAACAGAAAGAAGCTAGGATTGAGCAGTATCTCCTAAGAAATTCTGGAAGTGCCTTGTCCTGACACTGGAAAACAAGTAACTTCTTTACCTATGGGTTTCTTAATGCTACAGATTATATAATAATTCACATTACAGACAACCTTCACACAGGAAACTGAATACAAGTATGAACTAGAGCCCTTCACGACCCACAAATCCTTATTACAACCAGAAACTTCGTTTATATTTTTTTATATTATTTCTCACAATCTTTCACCAAAGGACAAGCTATGCAAATGTGAAACTTGGATGACTGCACTGTCGTCTCCGCCTACTGCACTTCAGTTTTCAGAAGTAAAATTTCCATCTTCAGCCCCAACTGACTTCAGTCTCATCAGATGGGATCAAAAGAAAACATATGACTGACCCACATAAGAAGAAAAGAGGAATAATATGAAAAATGTCATCCTTTGTATTTTTCTCCATCTCTTAACGAGTGGACCAAGGACAATGGGAACAATAATTACAGGGAACATTGAATGGCAAAACTATAATGAGACAAACTCTGCAGTGTATTTGATACCTTATTAGCTTCAACAATCATGAATTCATAGAAAACAAGAGTGTCGAAAATATCTACCCATGTATTTAGACCCTATTGTTTGCAGAAAAAGACTGGTGCTTACATTTTGTCTTCAATAGTTTTGCTTAATTTTAATTTTTCCACAGAAGAAGCTACCAGAGAAGTAGAGGCTGTCCACTCCTTTATAGATTATTCTCTCAAGGGTGGGAAACCATTTTGAAGAAGAATTTTTGAGAAAGCATGAACAGTTCTTTCTCACCCTCCTTCAAATTAGTCCAGTTGTAAACCTGGATCAAATAAAGGTGCTTTTCTGAAGAAGTTGCTCAGAAAAAGGATCTTAACTTTCTACTAGCCAGTTCCTCATTCTTGAAATGAGAAACAGAAAGGAGAGAAAAATACAATTCCATTCCCAAAATGCAGGTGAAAACAAAAGGTTTACGTGACAGTCTTTAGACTAGTCTGGGAGCTAATATCTCTTTCTGAAGATGCACAGTGTTGAGTCAAGCCTCCCCTAGACCTCCAAGGATGGACACTGTGCCTCAGTACCCGGGCTGGAAGCAGACCCCGCTGGGGTAAAGAAAAACTGTACAATGCAGGAGGACTCTGCACTTGATCCAAATTCCAAATTACGAGAAATAAGCCCATCTGTAATACGAACTACTGCCAACTTCTTCCACAGAACAGTTATGTGGAAAATATCACACCAAGTGAGATAATCATTTGTTATTTCCATGTCTTTACACTGAGAATTCATCCAGATACTTTTGTGATAAAAGCCCTTACAAGTAAATGTGAAGTCATCTGTGATCTCTGATATACTCAGATCTATCAGGATAAAGAAAATTATCCTGAGTACTCTGAACTGAAAAGAAAGTCACTCCTTCATTGCATTCAGACACTATCACAAGAAGAGTTTGCACAAACAAAATAGTTGCCTCTTTCAAGGATCGGAGAGTTTATATCCTGGACCATAAACAACAGCTTATATTACAAGTGAGTTCATAAAAGCATCTATTTAATATTTAATGAGTTAAATAAAGCAACAAAAAAGCATCATAATAATAAAATTAAAATATCAGAGTTGTGAAGTATTGTAATGAATTTGCAGCTTTCTTCTCATTTAGTGCATTTCTAATTGTTCTAACAGGACACCAGCCTTTTGATACAATGATGAGAAGGTCACCAGGAAAACAACATATATACAGAATACCTCTGCAGTCCACTGAAGGAGAAATACTCTGCTGCTGTTAATATATATTTATATTGCAGGACAGCCAAAAGGCCTCAATTAGGTTCTGTGCTCCATTGTGCTGGGCACTGTGGAGACACAAAAGGGAACAAAGTCGAAGCCCCCAAAGGGCTTGTAGGGTAAGAAGATAAGTGATGTAGTGAAGAGAAAGGCAATGGGATGCATTCAAAATAGGCTGACTTTTTAATACCTATATCCATTTGTCATCCTTTCAAGCTGCCAAGAGAGAATAATAATCCTGACCTGATTCCTCAAATCTACCCTACTCTGAATATTGTTTCCAATGTTAATCGAAGCGTGGTTAAGAATTTTCTTTTTTTAAAAGCGATTCCAAACCACTTACATTTCCCTGGCTTTTACAAACAGGCATACAATTATAAAAAATTAAATAAAATGAAATGAGAACCAATATAAAACTACTAGTGAGGATGGGAAACACAATGAGAATTTAGTTATTCTAAGTGAAAATTTAGTTATTCTAATTCCTGCCCTTGATAATTGTTGGACATATTTTCATACAGACACAGATAATGTCCTCTAATTCCACTTCAAGAGTCTATTCCTGTCAGTTAAACATTATCTAAAAGTCCCTATGGAGGTGTTCATTTAAAGCTGATGCTGGCACAGTTTTTCGCTCTTTTCTAGCCATCTGGTCACATACTGAATTGTCAGCTATTTTATCTAAACCCGAGAGGAAGATTGAAGGAGTAAACAAAAACATCAACAAAAGAAATCTTAGGGTCCAAAGTAACCGTAACGATCAAACCTAAAGTTATGATTTCTTCTCACTCACAAAAATCAGACAAAAGAGACTTAATAAAAAAAAAACACCTCACAAGATTGCAACCTGAGGCTATTTTGAAACCCCTCTCCCTCCCGAGTCCATACACACAGCTGTAAACACACACTGAACATTCATATAGTCCTCTCTCCCCCGACCCCACTCTCCTAATAATTAATAGAAAATACACAGATCCATTTCTTTACATTCAAAACTTAGAATCTCAGAGGCTGGCATTCAAAATTATTCTGCATGCCATTCAATAAAACCTTTTAAGATCAATTTTTAAATGCGGATGCTTCAGTCCTACGCTTTCTCTGCGTACTGACTTTAAACAACAGAATGTGGAAGCTGACTGTCTCATTAAAGCACACATATGAGAAAACTCGCTACAGTTTCTGTACAAATAGACAAGAGTCCCACTACATTAAAATGAAACCAAATCATCTTAGCAAACCTCTTTTTTCCTCATGGTCTTCTCTCTTCTCTGCGCAACGTTGTTCCATCTTACACACACACTTAGATGTGCCATAAGTGCTTCGTTTAAAGTGCATAAAAGCTATCCACAGCTCTCCTAAGAATGAAACAGTTTTAATATTTTCTGATCCATGTTCCTGCCACAAACATTCACTGGCAGTATGATAGCTCCAAGAGCAGACATCTGATTCTTGACATTTAAAGATACAATACTGGTGAAAAATAGTGACGCTGTATTAACTGCAAACAGCTTGTGAGGGAGTAGGTGATGTACTCCTAAAATGTATAATCAGAACAAGCAATAATTCCAACCTTTTGATTTTTTATTCTTGACTCAAAGCCATGAGAAAGAGGAATAGCCAGATAAACAAATCTGGACATGTTACAATAATTGTTTTATGAGAATTTATATTCTATGGCAAAAGGAAAGTAGGTTGTTTTCCTGCTGGAGAAAGTATTAAGGTACCCCAAAGTTTCTCAGATGGATCTCAAAAGCTTTCATAATAAAATAAGCAGTAAATGAAGGCAAATCTTGAAATTACAGAAATCAAAGAATTTGTATCCTGGTAACATTCGGTTAATTGACATTGTAATGCTAAGTGCAAGCACTACGACATCAAATTCCTTATACCCCTACTGTGATTGCCTTATAAATTCAAAAAGTACACAGAAAGGTCTTATTTTTCTCACATGAAAAAATTAAGCCTGTTCCAACATGAACTGTTTCTTTGAAATACTGAATGCTGGGAAAAAAAAAAGAAAAAAGAAAAAGCAGATTTATTTTTAATTTCAGCAGCATTACCCCTTGTTTGGTGATCAGTGACCTCTTGGGAAAGTTGAAATATCAGAGCAAACCTCCATCCCCCACAAACACCTGAGACAAGGCAGAGTACAGTTAACAGCAATCAGTTCTCCACACTGTACCTGGAGGTACTGACATGACCGTTCCTGTTGACACGTCTCTGCCTTCACCACTGTCTGGTCCATGTTAACTGATGCTTTCTGGTAAACTTCACGGGCTCTGCTCACGGTTAAGGTAGAGGACCAAGAACTTTTCTTCATTAACTGGGAGTCCAAATTCATGGGCAGATTTGCACAGGTAGAGCATTTGACATCATTATTGCTTCTGGATGACTTCACAGTATGTTCGCTAATAGTGTTATAGGCTTCCATAAAGTATTGGGAAGAAGAACGATCAGGGCATCTTCCCATGGTCATGACCCCACTGGGACCATGATAAATGCAAACATCATTGTCCAAGTTGTCATCTGAACTCCACCATCCTGATGCATTGGATCTGGGCTTACCTTCTGATCGCCTTTCTTTACTCTTGCTGCGCTTCCCATACCTCATCGTCTGCGACTCCTCCGGGCTTGCTTTACCCCCGTTGACACTCCCCTTGGATGGTCCCTCCAGTGAATGGGACTTGGTAAAGAGCTTTTGGACAGAATGAACCAGATGTCGGATCCTCCCTGGGCTGTCACTGCGGTGCTCCATGGCAGTCCGCTTGTACTGCAGAGTGTGGTAACCATCCCGATTCAGAGGCAGCTGCCGCTCAAACTGATCCAAAAGGTTGGCAGGAATGCGGTTGGTCTTGTTGGCAGTTCCGTGGGGAACCAGAGCACACTCATCCTTGAGTTCATGGTGGGAACTGTAATGTCTCCGGGGAAATGTGCTGCTGGCAATTTGATCGCTGTAGGGCACCATGCACTCTGCCTGAAAAGAGTTCCTCTGAGTGTAGTAAGGGTGGTCTGCAGGATGGGGGTCCACCGGGTTTAACAAATATGGCTTCCTGTCTGGGTGGTGTGGCAGACTGTCACACGGAGGGTCACAGGCAACCCCATGATGATGACTACGGCTGCTAGATAATCCCTTCATCGTTGATGTAAAGCAAGTCCCAAAGTCATCTAATACGTATGGCTATGCAATGGGCAGATCTCAGAGAAAGGCCTAAAAGAATGAAATACAACAGAAGCCATAAGATATTCGAGCTAAGAGAAAAATCAGCATGTGCACATTTAGTATTCATTGCTTCTTATTGTAAAAATAATTGGAATAAACATTCTCTGATTCTTTTTATTGCTTAATCTTTTCCATGTCCAACACAGTGATAGGGGATACCTAAATAATATACAAGAAAAATTATCTAATTCCACCAGCTGGAAAACAGAAGCAAGGAAAGTTTTCTGATGAGAAATTCACTATTGTTCATGACTCCACAGCAAGGTAAGTATCAGCACCTATACTCTAAATCCTCAGTCCTGAAAACATTCATGGACAGGGGCCTCCCAGGAGGCCCTGACTGCTCACCTGCATGTTTTCAGGGCCAAATAAATGCATTAAAAAACATCATGTCCTTAATGGAGCACTTTCTGGTTACTTTGGGCCAATACAAAGTGTGGTGCAATTAATGGGAAACTTTTCTCTATCTTCAATGCACATCTGTTCATGATTCAAGTGCAGTTTTACTTGATATCCATGCTGTCTGCTTAGACTGGAAGCATCTCAAAACAATATCAAAACATCATTTCTGTAAACTCTTCAAATTAAGAATGAAACAATAATTTTACACTAATTCTGTCAAAATGAAGCCAAACCAACTGTTTAATAACCTATATATTTGGGGTTGGTGTATTTACTGTCTACTTGCTTCTATTCACACACAAAAAAAATCTTATTCTGATAATGCATGACTTGGTTTAATTTTCAGAGTACTAGGCAGTGTTTAAATATCCCTGCCTACTCCTTCTACTGTTAGGGGACCTGGTATAGCCAAAAGTTGCACATTTCTACAACAGCATAAGGGATTTCAACACTTAACACTTGATTGCAGTTATTTGGCCCTGAAGTGACTCACAATGTTATAGGCTATTGATTACAACAAGTTGAAAATGCAAATCTTCATCACAAGTGATATAATAACCACTCTGTTTGAGGTCAGATGTCCTCATTTCAGCTCTCACCACTAGGAAAAGTCTGGATGCAACTGCTACTGCAATCTCTGAGCTACTAATGTGTAAATTACAGGGTTTCAGACAGAGCAAAACATTCTAATGGTGCCATCTCAGCTTCTGACGAGTAGAGGACTTCTTAGAGGGTGCCCTTTTATACCACACACAACCAAAATGGGAGTCACTGAGCTACTTTATTCTTTTATGGCATGTCTAGTCACATACTACTTTTGTTAAATGTCACCCTTGAGATCTTTCTTGAAGTACGGATAGACATGCATAGCAAACAGTTTTCCACTATGTTCCTCCAGTGTTCTCTCAGGTAAAGTTCATGTTCTAACAGGTTGTAGACATTGTACCTACTGGCAGATTGGCAATAATGAAGTTTTCTAAAATAGCATTAAGTTAATGTAAGTCTGGAAAAGCATGCTCTGCATTTCATCAGAATATATTTTATATTTTCTTCTGAATCTGCAGTGAGCTGAAGAGGAGTTTTTTTCAGTATGCTTCAAAGCTAGTGTGGATGTCCTGCATTTCATTCCCCCTCACTGGGTCCCTGAAATGCAGAAAATGTTCAGAGAGGAGACCCTGAATTCCAAAAAATGAGTTTTCAAAATACCACAAAAAGCACCTGAAATATTCCAAATAGATGATCTCATTGGCTTACCTGAAGAGAATAATGGCCAAAGGCACTTTTAAAACCACAAGAACAATATATTCAGAGAGCTGGACTTGTCAATTAGACTGTAGTGACAATTCTTAGCACTTCTAAAGAGCATTTTACATTTCTACTGACTCCTTTAAAAATGTGATTTATTAGACTGTATAACAGAGAAACATCCAAAGGGATGTAGCAGTAGATGCATTTATTGAAAATGTGACTTGACCAAGAATAACACATCAAGAATACCAGTAAAGGATATAATGACCAAATAGAAATACTCTAGTCTTTGCTATCTATGAATGTCTTTCACACTTGAAGGCTTGTGAAAACAAGGCTTCAGCCAGTTAAGTTTTATTTAAATCCATTTAAAAACATGCCACAGTCCTCAAGGTGATCAATAAATTGTCTTAGGGCTAACATTAGACTAGTGTGTTATTTAAGATAAAAATAGTAAAACCTTCCCCCAAATATATGAGAAAGATGCAGAGAAGTACAGTAAGTGGGACATGCCCAGAACCAGTGATTTATTTTCTTTTTTTCATTACCTGGATGGCTATGAATTTTTCATTTTTGTGTACCGTGGAAAAAGAGTATATGTAGACAAAGAACTGAAAGGACCTATAATTTACAGAATAGTAAAGTCATGACAGGCAATGAGGGATGTCATGGAATTATTAAGAATAGGTAGTTGTATTACACTGATGGAGCTGGATGGCTGGGATGAGGAAACACTTGATCTGATTTATAGGCTGGGACAGAATAGTGTGGAACATCTTGAAGATCAAGATGAGCTTAAAAGATATAAGTATGGTTTGACTGATGAGAGCAGCAGTGTTACCAGCTGTGTTTTGGATGGACTGGCAATATGGATGCTAAGGAGGATGTGCAAGAACTCTTAAAAAGTGAAAAAGCTTATGAAAAGTGACATTTGTCTGTAGAGAGAGAAAGGGACAGGCTTTCCATAAATTGTGGAGGAAGATTGGCTAAGCACTGCTATATGAGCTTGGATGGCAAGTAGGATGGTGAAAATTTTTAGGAGAAAAGATAACATTTAGTTCTACACCCATTTTGAGTCTGAGCTGTCAGTGAATCTTCCATGAGGAAGTACTGGAGAAAAAAGCAGAAAATAGATAGGATGATCTGCCCAAGAGGAATCAGATGAACAGATACAGATAACAACAGGGAAAATATGATTGTAAAAGCAAAAGATCATAGAGTTGCAAAAAAGGGAGGATAAAGCTTTGCAGGGCAACTGGTATAAAAGAGGGAGAAAAAAGAAGTAGCAAAGACCAGAGAGTGATACAGAAAAATGAACCAAAACCAAAAGGGAGCAAGCAACCTGTGTAACAAGAAGCAGTGATAGTAAAGGCTCCAAAACCTGTGTGAAATTGAAATTCAGAGTAAAAATTGTTTATTCCCAACTCTTAGACTGGTGTATGCATTATGAGATATTTTTTCTTCTGCTGCTACAGCATTGAAAACATTTAGATTATCACATGCCAACTGGCTTAAAAAGAAAAGAGTATTAACTAGGATAGAGCTTCATTTTACCTTAACTATATTACTGCTGCTACAGTATTGAAAGTGAAATGAATCAGAAAAAAAACAAGAATGTACCATAGTACCTACCTTCCAGGAAGGGAAGAATAAGTATAATATGCTCTGTACTGAGGAAAGGAGTGGTGCTTTTCCTAAATATTTATTGGATAATTCTGCACAGAAAACTCCACAGCATAATTCCAAAATCACTCTCACACCTCAATCCTCCTTTAATATGTTAATATATGTCTCGAAAAAAAGCCTCTGATTCCATCAGTATTTTTCAAAAAATATGCATAATTTTCCATAATTGTGTTGGTTGAACCTATCAATCAATGTTTAGGGCAATTAACAGCTGGAGACAGGGCTATCTGATCATGTCATGAATAGCTGAGGGGAAATCAATTAAGATTTTTATTGTATTGTTAATTTTTGGCCAGCTAGGAACATTTAATTACACATGAAATAAGGCAAGATAATTGATGAACATACTGCCTATTAATAAACAGTGGAAATAACAATTCTATGGTCAGTAGACCAAAACCACTTGATGGCATAGGAATAAATGCGATGTTAAATAGATACAGCATTGTGAGCCTGAAGAATGCTTATTATTTTCAACATTCATGTTACATTTGCTTTTTTTTTTCTTGAAGATGCTGTGGGTAAGAAGGATATGAATATATTAATCCTTGCTGCTAACATGGTGTCCCTAACGTACAACAATTTGTTCTAACAACTTAGTGGCTAGAAAAATATGTAAATAATTCTTATATAATTAAAGTGAAAATGCATGCAAAATAACAAAACCTGAATGCATAAATTACTTTTACAAATTTTACTTAACTATATTGTCTACTCATGTGTTCCAAATTGTTGTTGCTCATGATGTAACAGTTCAAGATTCAGAGCAAAGCAAACTGCCATATGCATAATGTAAAGTGTAAGGCCAATAACTGCTAAGACAACTGACAGAATGGCAGTGATATCTATGTCAAGGTGTGCAACTTAATTATAAAAACACGGAAGTAAGATGAATATGAGAAGCAAACATGCTCTTGCAATTTGTATTAGCAATATACAGAAGGAAGGCAATGCAACTACGTTATGTGTGGTTACCAACAGAGACTCCCTAACAGCCAACCCTAACCCTAATGCCAACAGACACACCCTAAATAAGTGTCAGCAGGGCCTTAAATTTAATATCCTTGTCTGTTCAGAAACTAAGGAGTGAGAGATACCATTCAGTGAGTGAGATGATGCTTCTGAATCCTCAGTTTTGTGCCAGGTCCAGAAGCTGAGGGTTGGTACACAGATGGAAGGCAATGTAAACATATAATGTCATGTATGTACAGCTCTGAGTCAGGGAGGCATTTAATCACGAGCACAAATTGAAACACACATTTGGACCATATTGGTACTTACACCTCAGATCACAGCAGTCTTTTCAAAGAAATGCTGTGCTACTGTTTGAAGTGAGAGTATGTAAATTATGCTTTTTAGCAGTACTATTTGTAGCTGTGCTTCCATTTTATGCCCTATGGTAAACAAAGAGAGGTTCTCATTTCCACCAACATCAGTGACTTGCAGCTTTTGCTTATTTATCTACTCACATGCTATAGGATGTTCCCAGGGAAATTCCTTTCCCTGATTCTCAGACTTTTACAAACATGTGGAAGATGTGTTTACACTATCAAACTTTCACATGCTCCTCATGTAGCACATTGCTTTATCCCAAAGGTCTTGATATTTTGCAGCCATTCCTTGTGGCCTTTCTGTTATGTTACATCACATTA